GGGGGGGGGGGGGAGGGGAGGACCGGTCGCGAGGAATAACGGCGTCAAGAAGAAGTCGTCGCGTGAAGTCGGCGGAAAACCGAGGCACATGGGGAGCCCGCGAGGGACGGCCATAACGAACGCGCGGACGAGAGTCGAGGCGAGGTGTGTGTGTGTGTGTGTGTGTGTGTGTGTGCGAGGCGGCATCGTGCCGCATCGACGCGACGCGACGCGACGCGCCGCGCCGGGAGGAGAGGACTAACCTTGATCCTTTTTGGCCTCCTGCGTCTTCGACGGTGGCTGCTGGGCGTCCTTGATCACGCGGCTCTTCTGCGTCTTGTTGTTGGCGGTCTTCTGACCGTCCTGCGGCTGCTGCTGCTGCTGCTGTTGTTGTTGCTGCTGCTGCTGCTGTTGTTGTTGCTGCTGCTGCTGCTGCTGTTGCTGCTGCTGATGTTGCTGCTTGCTCTTGTTCTCCTTCTCCGAGATCCTCTCCTTCTTTTTGGCTTCCTTCTCCTGCTCGCGCACTTTTAGCACCTCCAGGGGATCCTCGCTCTCGTCGAGCGCCAGCAAGAACTTGTTCGTGACCGTAACTGTATACTCGTTTTCCATCTTGGCTCAGTATCCTCACGGCGTCGAGGATCTCGCAAAGGTTGCACGGCTACTTTCGAGCCTCTGTGTAAAGAAGTCATTCACTATCCAATATGGCCGAGTCGAAAAGCTCGAAACCACCACGAGGTCTACCCCGCTGCGAGCACCGTGCGATAGTGGCGAGGGAGGAGAAGGGCGAAGGAAGAGTGGGAAGAGCGAGAGAGACCAGCAGAAACCGCGGAATTACCGTGCGGCGAGCGCGCCACCTCCCCTGCCAGAATTATCGTATTTCTTTGGAATTAACACACGCAGGCCGCTCCATCGTCTCGACAGATGTGAAAGAAATCATCCAAAAATATGCCGTGAATTTACACACGGTTCGCTTCCCCGATAAATAGCATCGCGGTGCTCGAGAAGACTCTCAATTGTTCATAATTCGTCGCTTAATGCCTAGTTCACACTAGGCGTGATGAGCGATGCGCGACGAGCGACAACCAATAAGAACTCTGCTTTACACCATCGTGTGAGCTAAAGCGAAGCTTTTATTGGATATCGCTCGTCATTCATCGCCCATCGCATCCAGTGTGAACTAGGCATTAGGCTGGAAAGACGAACGATGATTTCCATGAGACGCGCCGACAACGAGCGGCAAATCGCTAATCACCGCGAGCTGCGGATGCTTATCTCGAGAAAGTCGCATCGAAAATGCAAGAATTACGAGAGAGACGATCGCAACAAATTTAATGAATGTAAATACCAGCTGCAAACTAGAGTCCCAGATATCAGAGAAGCGCAACCGATGTACCGCGTCCTGATTAGCTGACTGTCAGCCAATCATGACATTCATTCAGTGGTATTAAAAATGGCTGACTAATAAACGATTGGTGGATTTCATATCTCGTCTGCAAACGACGCCATTTTTAATACTCTTCTTAGTAATTTTGCGATACTGACTTAAGCCGGTTGCGCTTCTCTGATATCTAGGACTCTACTGCAAACCAGCGCGATGTTCGTCGCGTGCGACGCGCGATATCCAATGAGCGTACAGCTTTACCAATGTTCGAATTCTAAAGCTAAACGCTCATTGGATATCGCGTGTCGCGCGCGACGAACATCGCGCTGGTGTGCAACTGGCATTAAGCTATATCCACACAAACTTGCACAGCCGCATAAACGTATGCATAATGAAAATTATCCAATCACGTTTTACGTGCATCTCTATAAGGGAAATGCGATTGGATAATTTTCTTTATGCATGCGTTTATGCAGCTATGCAAGTTGTGTGGATATAGTTTTAAGCCTATCGCACATGAAATGCATAATAGAGCATGAGCATAACATAAAGCTGTTGGACCAATAAGCATCCAGCATAAAGTTGCCATAACATATGATGCTCATTGGTCCAGCGGTCGTATGTTATGTTTATGCACTGTTATGCATTTCATGTGTTTTGGGCTTAAAGCGGGGAGCACAGACTTTTGCATAACGCATAATACATAGTGCATAAGAGAATCAACCAGTCTGAAGCCCTCCTTTCCTTCTAGTTCAATGAAAAGAAATACTTTGATTGGCTGATTCTCTTATGCACTATGTATTATGCGTTATGCAAAAGCTTGTGTTTGGACTTTTAAGCCTATGAGCCCCAACACACACTTTTGCATAATGCATAAAGCATGTGCATAAGGAATTTTATTGGCCCATTTTCTTATGCATGAGTCAATGGACCAATCAAATTCTTTATGTATGCTCATGCTCAAATATGCATTTTATGTGCGATAGGCTTTACACTTTATTTCGAAACATGTATGTGTCGTGTTGTTGTTATATAACAGCGCGAGACGTTATGCGACCAATCGGCATTAGCCGATCGATTTGTCCAATTGGCGCCGACCAATTGTCGCTTGCCAAATATCTACAGCGCCATACGTGGGTAGGTAGATAATTAGATATTTATTTGGACGATTGTAGTTGTTTTATCGAATCAATCGAAATCTTGGGATCGATTCTGTATCGGTGAAAATTACAAAAGTAAACAAATTTACCAAATGTTTGCTTCCTCTTGTAATATTTATCTTGTTTCAAGATATATGCTCGTATTCATAAATGTCTTTAGCGATCACAAAAAATTAGGTTAAGAATAACTTGAAATAGAGAACCTTTAGTTATGTTTGCTTCCTCTTGTAATATTTATCTTGTTTCAAGATATATGCTCGTATTCATAAATGTCTCTAGCGATCACAAAAAATTAGGTTAAGAATAACTTGAAATAGAGAACCTCTAGTAGAATCGCCAACTTGGTCACGTGACCAATTACGTGATTGGCTGGAGGAAATGAGCAGATTTGGGCATTTCGACACCAATGCATGACGTCAGAACACATGGCGGCCTCATCGTTCGCGATGAAATATTTACGTCCCGATTAAATGGTCCGAGGTCCGGGAACGCCGTCGGGGTACACGAACACGAAGACTGCCACTGCTGGGGTCAGTCTGCCACGTTCTAAATCTCGTCGTATAAGGTTAGTGATCAACTCGATCGTTGATCGACTCTAGTTGATCGTGTTAGTAATTATGTTTTAATATTATTTAAATTTGTTAGAAATTTGACGAAATATTAAAGTGTTCATTGGCAAAAATCATAAGTAAACTTTTATTACATAAGAGATGTACATTTAGGTATTGAAGTTTGTGTGTAGAGTCGATCAACGATCACTAACCTTATACGAAGAGATTTAGAGAGTGGCAGACTGACCCCAGCAGTGGCAGTCTTCGTGTTCGTGTACCCCGACGGCGTTCCCGAACCCCGGACCATTTAATCGAGACATAAATATTTCATCGCGAATGATGGGGCCGCCATGTTCTGACGACATGCATTGGTGTCGAGATGCCCAAATCTGCTTATTTCCTCCAGCCAATCGCGTAATTGGTCACGTGACCAAGTTGGCGATTCTCTCTACTAGAGGTTCTCTAACTTGAAACCTACGGATGGAGGAAGAAGAAGGTTAAGAGCATATATGTAATACTACTATATGATTAAGAGTACTGAAAAAGTAGAGAATATCATCTGTAAGTATTGTAATTATATGTTTGCTAATTATTATTACTAGTTTTATTATTTTTGAACCATAATATATTAAATATTTTTTATATGATTTTTGAAGGAAAAGGTAAAAGCGATAACAGCACGATTACTTCTTATGAAAAATATAATAAAGTGGCAAAGTATAACTCCACAGTTATCTTAATAATAATATTAACATAATAATATTATTGAATGTTTTTTCTTTGGATATTTGGGATATTGTACATATAATGTTAGGTTAAAAATGTATGCAAGGCCATCACCATAATCTAATATAAAATAACTTAGCAAACATATAATTACAATACTTACACATGACATTCTCTACTTAAATTTTTCAGTACTCAAAACCTTCTTCCTCCATCCATAGGTTTCAGATTTTTCTTAACCTAATTGCTAGTGATCGCCAGCGACCGACAGAGTACGAAAAATTTCCGTTTCCGAAAAATATGCCCCATGGGGAGCCAGGCTACTTAAAATCGGAACGGAACGATGCTGATTGATTGCTCCTACCATTTCACTTTTCCGTACCATGGGGCTGCGTTCATAAAGTTTTCTCCGAATAGAGTTAGAGTAGAGTTGAGTTAGGTACGAGACGGTACGAGTTAACTCTAAATTTATGTGACTTTATGAACGACCGGAGTATCAGTTGAGTTCGTTGATTTGATGGTAGTTCTAATCTAATAAAAAGTTGAAATTTAAATTAAGAAAAAAATTAATTTTATAATAGCAGAAAACGTAAAGAAAGTAATTTCTTTCACTATATTAATCTATAATCTATAATAATAATACGAAAGTAATAATAATAAGAAAGTAATTTCTTTTACTATATTAATCTATAATCTATAAAACGTAAAGAAAGTAATTTCTTTCACTATATTAATCTGTAATCTATTAATCTATCTCTTATTATTAATCTATAAGTCGTGAAAGATGAGATAATAATAATTATTTAAAATTTTT